AACTGGACATGCAGGTGCTCATGTTACATCCTCAGAGATGGAGTCCAAGCCAGAGCAAATCATAGTGACTTTGTCTGCAAATAAATGAGCAAATGCTTCACAACGGGCTACCAAGTTGTCAGGGATCCCATCTTGGGAGACGGGATTTAATAACCCTCTGACTACTCGGAACAGCTCCGCCAAATGGTTCCTTGCGGACCCAATATTGGCTGCAAAGAAACATTTCTGTGCAGCTTTTATTGCCACAGTGGGCAGAGGTCTAGGATCTATGTGCTCACTCTCACCTCTTCAAGGTTCTTGTCCACATCCTTGAGCTGCACCAATTGAAATGAATCCATCAAAACTGGACATGCAGGTGCTCATGTTATATCCTCAGAGATGGAGTCCAAGCCAGAGCAAATCATAGTGACTTTGTCTGCAAATAACTGAGCAAATGCTTCACAACGGGCTACCAAGTTGTCAGGGATCCTGTGACGATGTGTAAATTTTATTTCTTTGGTTATGTGTAGTTTGGACAGTGGTTTAGGGATGGTAAGTATGGGAGATTATGTTTTGTGGGAGAGGGTGGCTTGGTGTTAGCTGAGTTGCCATAGCAACAGGGGCGGAGCTAACGGCCTCTTCAGGAGGTAGCTGTTTTAAAAAGCCAGTTGTAAGCCGGTGAGCTACAGGAAGGGACTGATTTCTCTAGTGGGAGAAACAGGGAATTAGTCAGTACGCCAGCGAGCTACTGAGTGAACTGAATCTTTTGGTGGAGATTCAGGGAATGTGTCTGTAGCCAGTGTGCTCTAGGGAAAGACTGAATCTCTTGGTGGAGATTCAGGGAATCAATTGGTGACCAAGTGGTTGCAGAGAAGGACCCGGTACAGGGGGTTGTTGATTCTGAATTAAGAATCAAGGTTTGGCTGGGTTTAAGCCTGTTGTGCCAGCTGTGAAACCTTATGAAGTGTTTGCCTGAGTTTACTCATGAAACCTTTCCAATGTATCCATCAAGATTTGTGCCTCTTTTGAAGAACAGTTATACATTGTTATACTCCTGTTAAAATAAACTTGTTACTGTTTTCCTCAAGCCTTGCCTGATACAGTTTCTCCTAAGTTGAACAGCCTGCAATAGTAAAGTCAAGCCAAGAAAGTAAACGCTACGCTATCAAGTGAATAAAGCCTTCTGTAATTAACAGTCCCTTTATAAAATAGCTCCTAGGTTGATATTGATCATTGCCCGGCTTCCCTCATAGATTAGGTGGCAGTGGGTGCTTTACCACGCGCACCTTCACAATTGGTGGCATTCGGTGGCATTAAAACGGTCATCGTTACAATTGGTGGCAGCAGTTTAACAACTCCTTCACAGATCCCATCTTGGGAGACGGGATTTAATAACCCTCTGACTACTCGGAACAGCTCCGCCAAATGGTTCCTTGCGGACCCAATATTGGCTGCAAAGAAACATTTCTGTGCAGCTTTTATTGCCACAGTGTATACAAATACACAGTGCCCTTAGGTAGGCACCTACCTGTGTTTGGTTTGATTCACTAGGCTTTGTACGCCACACTCACTCTAGTCTTCTCTTCACACACACTCACATACAGAAATATATATACACACACACAAACACACATGCTTTGGATAGCTGAGAAATAGACATAAAAGAAAACATGAACAGGAATATTTGAAAGCCTGGAACTCCATACTGAGATACTAGAAACACTAAAGCCTCATTGTAGTCTTTAATCTGAAGATTATATATATGACAGGATAGGGGCACTGTATTCCTCTATGGGATAGTGCTAGATAGTGGTAATGCAGGGGAAATCTGCAGCCTAGTGGCATGTGTGTTTATCTAGAAGTAAGTTACACTGAATTCAGTGTACTCCATGGTAGGCATGGTTTTGGCTGTAGGTAGCTAGAGGTAGCTGGAATTTTTACTCCATGGTAGGCATGGTTTTGGCTGGAGGTAGCTAGAGGTAGCTGGAATTTTTATTCTTGTTTTATTCTTGTTTTAAAGCATCAGCATGTGTGTTACAGAAACAGACATTGCTGTTGTGAGTTTAAACTATACAGTACATTTTTGCTTGCATTTTCTCTTTATAGCTATCCAGTGATGAAGCTGTTCAAAAAGTTCTTGCTGGAGAGAAAGCAGATCTCAAAGGAAATACTTCGTCATCTTCTAAATCCCAAAATAAAGAATCTAGATCAGAAGACTATCGATCCCATAAAGAGGTGCTGTGAGCCATCTTTTAGATAAAGGAACCTTTTTTCTTGTTACATGGAAAACAAGGGGAAATGTTATTTGCAGTTTAATATTTTTCTATTTTATTTAGGGAAGAGGTGACTCCGAAATAAAAGAAAGAGGCCCACGCCAAGACCAAAAATCCAAAGAAGAGTTCAAAGAGGAAGAGTGCAAGAGAAAAGAAAAAGAAAGTGACAAACCTAAAGAATATACAAACCATCAAAAGAATCCTGAAAAAGATCGTTTTAAAGACAGGGAAAAGCATGAAAGAGAGAAAACTAAGAACAGATCTTCCAAACAGGGCAGAGAGACAGAAAAGATCAGGGACAGAGAAAAAGGAGAAGGAGCTAAAGAGGAACATGACAAAGAAAGGGATAGAGAAAGGAAACAACATGATGGAGGAAGAGAAAAAGACAGACTAAGAGAAAAAGACAGGGAAAGAGAAAGGGGTAGGGAGAAGGATAAAGAACACGAGAAGGTCAGAGAAAAGGGAAAGGATAGAGAAAAAGACAAACGAAAAGAGCGAGGCAGAGACACGGAGCAGTCACGAGAACAAGGAAAAGCCAAAGATAGAAAGGTAAAGCATTTTTTAAAGCATGGAAATTGACTATTGCTAGAAACTATGCTTAACAATTTTGTGTATTTCTAAATGTGTACATTATCTAAACTTAATTTTAGTTTATATTCAGGAAACCCATTCCCCCCTCAATATCTGTAGTATTTACAGGAAATTGATAAATCACACTGATATTTTGTAAGGCAAACATCAGATAAACGGAAAATATATTATCATTATATTAGGGTAGTTATGTATTATATTTATATCTTTCACTGATTTTTTTATTTCAAATTACTGTTTTAATAAGTTGTGAACTGAGTTCCATTAATGGGGAAATGGCAGCATATTAATAAATCAAATAACAAAAATAGCTGAAGAAACAATTTCCAACTTGCGTATGGCCATTTGTTTTCTGAAATGTTAGTCATCATATCACTGAATTATTTTGAACATTTTGTCATCAAGAGATTTTTTTTAATTGGACCATGCCATACAAACTGAATTTATTCCCAGTTTTTAATAGTAGTGGTTCACAATGCAAACCTTGAGACCAGAATTACATATCCATATTTGACCTCTCTGTCTGGATTAATTTTTTAGAGAGTTATAAGAAAAATAATACTAAACATTTCAAAGATTAAATATATACACATTTTCTTTCTTTAGGCCACAGGAAGTGAGGAGAATGTGATTAAAGCGTCAGCAGAACGATCTGAAAAAGATAAAGATAGTGCGGAGCCAGATAAAGAAGTAAGGAATAAAAATAATTTGCTGGTGACGGTAGTTTCCTATTACTATATTCCTGTAAACAAGTGCAAATGAGTACACTGGACTCTTGGTATTCACTCGGGTTCTGTTCCTTGTTGTTAACAAAGCCAACATATTTCTGGGTATTAATTTTTTTAATAAGATACGTGGGGCGTTCATTAAAGATTTCCCCTGACCCACTTCTATTTATCACAGGACACTGAAACTGCACATGTGTAATATATACATCTCTAATGGTTACGTGCCAATTTACAACTCAGAACGTGGTGTGAGGTTTGATAATGGACCCAGTGGAATACAAGCGCAGTCATCAAGTTCCTTTATTTGAAAGGCCGCACACCAAAGGAGACATTTGATGGGATGAAAGAGGTGATGATTCCCCATCATACACTGCAGCCAAGAACTGGCATCGTCCATTCAGATGTGGTCAGACTCCAATTCCAGGGCAACCTCATTCTGCTATTGAATAATAATAATAATAATAATAATAATAATAATAATAATAATAATAATCTTTATTTATACCCCGCCACCATCTCCCCCAACGGGGACTCAGGGCAGCTTACATGTGGCCAAGCCCAAACAGCAAATTACAATACAGTAAAATACAATAAAATAAAAACCGAAACGCAAGCAACAACAGTAAAATACAAAAACATGATGAATACAATAAGCAATGAAAGCAAAACATAAGAATGCAATGAACAATTACAATAACAGTGAGCGGGCCGCATGTATAATAAAATGATTTAAAAACTCAGGGTGAGATAAAAGGAGCAGATTAGTTGCAAGGGAGAGCTCATAGGGAAACGGGGTAGAAAACAGGCCTTCGTACAAGGGGGAGGTGTACTCCAAGGACAAAAGCTTTGAGGCGAGCAGTAGCATAAGGTTGTATGGCTACTCTCCCAAAGTGCAGCGGCAGAGCCAGGTCTTGAGATTCTTTTTAAAGTTTTCTAAGGTAGGGGCTTTCCTAATCTCTCCGGGCAACGAACACACCACCCAGCAAGTGGGGAGTTGCCATTTTGGAAAATCGCTGTGTAACTATTTTATTGATTGATTGATTGATTGATTGATTGATTGGACTTGTATACCACCACTCCCAATTTGGCTCGGGGTGGTTTACAGCAGTAGATTAAAAACAATACAACCAACTTTAAAATACAATAAAAATGAGAACAGACATAGTCCCGAGTTATTCACCCATCAAAAGCTTGTCGGAAAAGAAAGGTTTTACAGGCTTTCCGAAAAGCAAGTAGCTCTTGGATGGTTCGGGTTTCAACTAGCAAGGCATTCCATAAATAAGGGGCCACAATTGAGAAGGCTCTCTGTCTAGTAGAGGACAGATGGTAAGTCCGGATGTTGGGGACTTCAAGCAAATTTTGGTCTTCAGACCGAAGTAATCTCTGGGGTTGGTAGGGG